ATAATAAAAAAAATTAATTCTACTAGAAACTGTGTATACACAGTAAGCACATATATGTAGATAAAGAAGAGAACGATCTCCAATATTTTCATAGTACCTGAGAACCAGAAAGTGAAACTAGTTATAAATAAAAGTGGTGTTCAGTCATCTGCTTCTACCAATACATGCCAAAAGGTCAGCCAGAATAAACAGTGAAAAATTGAATTTTACTTTGAAGATAACTTTATGTAGAATGTATAAGTAAGGAAGGTCAAATCAGGGCAGATTTGCTGGAGAGGTGGGAAGAGGGACCATAGCTCCCCACTGGCTATGCCCTGTATTTTGCTCTAGACTATATAAGAGGGGAACCACTGTACTGCTGCAGAGATCAAACCTCAGCACAACAGCCACATGGAACCCTGGGAGTGACTTCCAAAAGAATCTGAAACATCAAGCCTTTAATTTTGTTGTCAAAATACGAGCTGTAGTGCCATGCTGATGACCATGCAGGACATGCCAAGATACAGGGAGGCCTAACTGCCAGTGCAGTAGTTACCTATGTAGTGCATTCCCAGAGCCTGCAGTAGACTGTGCACTAGACTCATCCTTCACTGTCCAACATCTGCATATGTATCTGCTGATTTTTCTTTCTCAAGATGATGAACATGACATACACTGCTGGGTTGCAGCACTACCACATCCCTACTTTTCACACCACAGGCCATACTGTCCCATAGTGGAGTCCTTGGGAAATGTGTATTATATACAGATAACTGTTGTGTGGTGGAAAGATTGCTCACTGTGGGCCATGCTTCATGAGGAGACCTGCAGTGCATCAAGCACTTGAGCAGCAGAAGTCATTGCTGCAACGCAGAACTGAAGCACTGACTTGTCTTGCTTATTGCCCTCACCTCTCCCTGCCTGTGGCTTTCAGCAGAACAACTTCTTTCTGCCCTCAGATTTTTAAGAGAACTGTGGTAGCCTGACTTCCTGTCAACTGCTGCTTCGTCTTCTGAATGTGGCTGTCCTCTGATAGTGGGAAAGGATTATTAGTAGCCCTGTTAAGTAAGAGTGAGGCTGCTCTATAAAAGCTGGAGCACAGCTCAGGCAGAGCTCTAAGATCTTACCGTTATAGCAATCAGTCTGTTAAAGGTGGAGTTTTAAGCTGAGATGTGAAAGGAACTGTATGATATAGATGTCTCCGGGGCAGAAGATCAGATTTGGTGATCCAGTGAGGCTTCTTCCATCCTCCATAGCTGTGACCCAGGAGGTGGGAGGCTGCTCCAGCATTAAAGAAAAGACTTAGAAGGACATGGTCTCAAGTGGACAGTTCTGAATTTCTGGTTCTGTGCAGAGTGGATCTAGGCTAGTCTCAGGCTCTGGGTTTTCACATTTTCTCAATAGTTTGTTATTAGTAATTGATAAGGCTTCAAATACATCAAACTATGTGCCAACCAAGCATCACTGGGTTGGACCTGGGAGCAGGATGGATTAGAAACTGGCTGTAAGTTAACCCTGGAGGAACATTATGGAGAATGACAATGGTTTCACATTGTTGTCTATTAATATATCAGTGTCTGCATCGTCAGAGTTATATTTACTCTAGTTTTTATAGCAAATACAAGTTAAGAATGGATTTTCCCCAGGTTTGGTTTTCTCTTTTCAAAGCCAGGATAAAATATAGAAGAATTATGCCAAAGCTTATAATAAGTCAACAAGATTGCAAGGGGGTAGAGCTAACTTGCAAAGTTGTCAGAAATATTTAAAAGACTAGTTTTCCTAAATTTGTTGTACAGGAGTCTTCTTCCTAGTCTCCCGTTTTCCAGCGTAACTCTCTCCCCTTGCTCTCCAATCCCCCGAGTCACAGATACTACACACATGAAATTTCACGTACCTAAGTTACAAAAATTCTTTGAAAGCAGCCCCGTACATTACAGACTTTTTTGGCTGAGCCATAGCAATGACTAAGCTATAGGAAAAGCCTCCATTCAGCTCTACTGTAAAGGAAAATGTGGGTGGGGGAACTGGGCTTTCAGGGTCGAAGTCATTCAGCACTTGAGTGGCAACTGTCGCAACGAGGAAAGAGGAGGGCTCAGCCTGGAGGGCCTGGGAGGGGAGGTTTCTCAGATTTCCACTCTGCAGCTGTCCCTCTGGGGCCAGGCTGGAGACAGGGCAAGAGAGGGTGTCATTATTTGACTCAGCATGTTCCTAAGCCACAACAGGGAAGTGACGTATATAAAAAGTGTGTTCTTCACTCTTATCTGATAAGAGGGACTACAAGGAGTTTTCTCCACGGCCTAGACAAAGAGGAAGTCTGTCTTTGTCCTTGTATTTCACTTTCTCTGTCAGCATGCCTTCCTTGAATCCTTGAAGCAATTATGGTGGCCTTACAGCCTCTAACACAAAACAGAAGAGTATACAGTTTTAGAGACATGACATGCAGCCACAGGGTACCACACTGCCAAATACTCATTGTTTAGCTTCCTGTGTACTCCACCAGCTTTAAAACTGTTTTTTGGTATAACTGATTTAATGTAGAAATATCTCAGACAGAGCCATTTCACCTCCCATGAATTTGGTGGAGGTCTGCCTTTACCAAATCCATGAATTATGCTCGTGGACCAGCAAACGAATAAAGTCTGCCATATTTCTGTGATGCTTCTGGTAGAAAATGACAGTGCTTCACTTACTACTTACTGCCCAAAGGGTCTGAGCTATTACTGTACAGCCACTCTTGCATCAGTCTCCACCACAGTCAATTTTATCTCCTCTAATATCACAACCTGCCTTTTACAGAGCAGTGCTGTGCAATGAGGCTGTACAATGACAAGGGACAATGCCCTCTATGTTGTCCCTCCAAGCCCTGAGTCTCTGAGAATACATGGACAGTCTTACTGTGCATTAGCAGAAGTTTTTAAGCGGTCCTGAAGACATCTGGACCTGCAAACAACCTGCAGGGATAGCATAGCATCAAACACTGCCAACCACCAAATGATGTGAGAGCTGAGAGTCATATTCCACATCCAAATAGAAAGTTTCCAACCCATAACCAAATGAATATGTACAAAGGCTGACAGTGCTAGCACAATCACCTACTGAAGCTGGGCTCAAAGGGTCTATAAACCAAGACAACTTTCAAATAAAACCTGCTGAGGTACTCTGTACTTCACACTCCAACTGTGCTGCTTATCTAAAATTATTTCAAGACCTGTCCGTAGAAAAAAATTAAACCAAAATCGCATTACCTTTTCTTCAAGAAATGAAATTTCAGGCCATGTGGTAGCAGAAAGTACTTTTTCCTTATTTATTTCTGTTCTCATTTTTCAGAACTTCTGTTCTATCTGGTGTGATTAGCTATCCCTTTAACCAGGAGAGATTTTGTGTGTCCATGCATGAGACCATGAGTGCATCATGTGTATCTACACATACACCTGTAAGATCTATTCCTTTAAGCCAACCATTGTCTGCAGGATGAAAAATTACTTAAGCACATGAACAGCATACAGTAAATAATCATTAGTACACAGAAAACAAACATTGAGTATGCCAGATAGACCTCTCCCCAGCTTAAATGCTCATTTTTAAATGGACAAGAAATAGTGATCCAGTTTGACAGCAGAGATTCACCTGCCAGCCAGAAACACCCAGGTGCATTGCATATGATGTTATCACATTGCACAGACTACCAGACACCAAAATGAAGTCCAAACTCTGGATAGTTTGTAAAGCATCTCCAAACCCATCTGAAATCTTCAGATTTTCAGAGGCAAAGATTTAATTTGAAAGACACTTGACCATCTTCTTATTCACCGCAGTGAAGCTGCCCACATGGCTTTAACTGCTCTATACTAATTCCTCACAGGAACCTTTTAATGCTAATGCCATTGTATTATAACAATTTGTTAATAGCAATACATAAAAGCCATTTGAAGTGGGGTTTTTTTCATCCTTATGATGAAATATTATGACTTAAAAATCAACTGATTCCTAGAGCTGGCAGTGCAGTAAGTCCCTAGTGACTGCAGACTTTTGTTTGGACTTCATACAAAACAAACGCACTTCTACATTCTCCAGAGAATTCCCAGGTCTCAGTATCACACCTCCTTTGAAGGGGCAGCATTAAACTACAAAACCAACCTCAAATCTCACTGCTGAAGAATGTAATTGAATGTGTTTGACTGCCACATGCAATAGTGTCCCTTGGGACTCACCAGGATTTACTCCCTGATCCTCCAATATTGCTCCCATCTTGGTAATGGACATAGTCCAGGGATTCACTTCTCCCAGGGCAATGTATCTCCCTGCAACTTTCATCCCCAGTGGACATGCCCTCCACAATGCTGTTAATAGATCTGGTACTGGTTCCAAGCAAATACAAAGCAAACTTCAGCTGGTTTAAAGGCTAAGATAAGCTGTTACCCACAGCTGTCACAGAAACCAAATTGAGAAGGTAAAAGTGGCAGTTCATAGATATCAGGGGGACCCAGCTAACACCCATCCCTTGGAGTCATGAAGTAGGATAAATTCATGTACATTCTGAAAAGAAGCTCTGTCATAGTTCTCCAGAATGGTGCAGAAGACCTTCAGATGGATTGGAGATTCGTTGCTTTAAGACACAGGAAAAAAAAATGCAGACTCTTTGTTTACCTAGGTCTGTGGTTTCAAAGTACCTACTTTTTACTATGTTCATTTCTTGACTCAAAGTGAAAATGGGAATTCACCCTTTTCTCTTTTTTTCCTGTCCAATGTGCAGATGGGGCACATTTTTGTTCACTCCATCAATCCCTGCCCCCCTACGCACGAGCTCTCATACATGCACCTAGCCAATGGAAAAGAAAAAAGGGTTACTCATTAATCCATTCTACAAAGCTTTCCAGGGTGAAATGGGTGGGTTCTACACCACCAGCAGGGAGCAATATATAGGTAGGTGCACAGCATACCTGAGCACAGCTCAAACTGGAGTGTTAAACTTGAACAGCACAACTTTGCTCCTGGCACATTTTACAACCAAACTCATCAGGATGGAGAGGATGATTGTTTTCTGTATGCTGCTCTTCTGTTCCAGTGCAGTGCTGACTGCATCTCCATATGATACAGTCAAATACAAACAGATTCTCAAGACAATTGAACACTTAAACAGCACAGTGAAAGATAAGGTAAGCAGAGTATTTGTCATAACATTGAAATTACTTTCAATCATTATGTATTGCTTAGTACATATCTTGTGAGGGGCATCACTTTCAAATGTTAAATCTTTTCTAACTTAGATTTGTTTCATTCTAGGGTGCTGAATTGGTGCATACACCAGAAAACCCTGTGGTGAGCCTGCTTTAATATTTCTTCCTAATGATATCTATTTGATTTTGTACTGGTTTATTGCATTGACAAATGGCACATGCCTCCTTCTTCACATCTCTGACCTAGCGCTCTTAATGCAAGCTAAACTGAAAAAGAAAATGCTTTCAAAAAAGTTCCTTATTTTGGGATATTTAATGGCAGATGTGTTTATATTTTGCCACTTTGGTGACTATTTTGCTATGGTGTGTGTATTCTAACACACCCACAGATTCAGAGTTGCATGTATTCCATTTACTCAAGCAATAGTGCTCAGAGTGAGGATTTATACAAGATCCAGATGAGCAGCAGTGCTTTTGGGGATGCAGGTTTTGGGAGTGGAAGTGCCTCCAGCTGCCATAAGCTCCATCACAGTGGGAGCATCACTGAGCAGAACCCAAAGGGCCCTCCTTTCCCTCCCACTGAGGCTAAATGCCAAGAGTGGCACTGTAAGGCCATATCACAGAGCACCTCCTGGCATATATAGTCACACTGGTCTCTCTGAGACTATTTGTGTGCAAGGGTTGTGCTATCAATAGGAAGAAAAAAGGGCATCCTGCAAATACTCTCTTTGGATTATCACTTGTTAAAAATACAAGAACAGCTCCCTGTGAATCACTTTTGAATACTGATATTTATTTACACATTATTTAATGCTGATATTTTGCATGTTCCAAGGTCAGGAACTTCTTCTATGCAGTACATTACTAGACCAGAGTCACAGAAAGTCTGTGCATACTCAAAAGTGGCAGGATGCAGGACAAAATGAAATGCTAATCATAGTAACAACATGACTTAAAAGCTTAGAGGGTAAATGCATCCTGCTTTGATAGTCCCCAACATACAACAAAGGTCTGCAGCTAACTGTGGCTAACCTAATGTTATGCTTCTGTTATCAGCTGTCTTAAAATTTTGAGCCCTGGCAACTATGTTGTAGTGGAAGACATGTTGATTGACAAATGAAAATTATCATCATGCATTATTACACTGTAATGCTGCAGGCATTCATACAAAAACTATCTACTCAGGACTGTAAACTCTCTAGCAAAGCAACTACAAGAAGAAAGAAAAAAAACTCACCTCATTTCACACAGGTTTTGGTTAGCCTCCTCCTAGGCTTTACCATTGGGTGCATTTTTTTAGTTGCCAAAAACATACAGAAGCATGACCAGAACAGATATATTCCTTCTCCTTGCTAGAAACAACTGCAGTGCACAAACCCATAGCACCCTAACTAATTGCTCTTTTTTTTTCATTAACTAACATGTGGTGTCAAAGTGAAAAGGAGGAGATGATTAGCTGTCATTTTACTACAGTGTTTGCTGCTACCTCTGAACTAGTGACTAATTGCTTGATCAGGTTGTTGGGTTTTTTTTTTCTCAAAAAAAACAACACACTTGCTTACCTCAGGAAGGAAGACAATAGTTCATCTGCAGCTTAGAGCTCTACAGTCTGATTCTGGGAGGTCCTAAGTACCTGCAGTGAATACTACAGAAGACAGAGAAATCACATATTTAGTAGGTATTAAGCTGACACAGGTTCAACTTCTGCCGAACAATATTTCAAAACATGTTAGTGTGCTAATAGTAACTATAACCAGCAACAAAACTAACAAACTTTTCATCTTACAGGGTGACTGAGATACGAATTAGAGTGTGCCAAAGCAGCACTCCAGGTGATTAGGTGCCACCACGCCCTAAGGAAACTCGATTTAACAAAAACTCATCCCTCTAACTGTATCTCAATTAGCAAAATACTAGTTTTATGACAACCTGCTTATGACAGATGTAAATGTGGTGTTGACTATTCAAGAAGAAAACTACCTTTTCTAACAATCAGAATTAGCTGGTTTATCACTATTCGTTTTGAGGTTCCTGTGCATGGACTGAGTGTTAGTCCCAATTCAGTCCCACACAACTTCCTTGTACAGTCCCCAATGAAGCATCCTTTTCTTTAAAAGAAAGGGAGGTAAGAGGACATCTACTCAAGGAAAAACATGCTGAGGCTGAAAAAGTAAGTCTTAAGGCTGAAGTGATTCTAGACAGGTGAGAGAATAAGATCTCCTGCTGGTGGCAGACACTGCAGCTGAAGCATGTTCAGCATCAGACACAATGCTGATTCACACTGGACCAGTGTCTAAGCCCAATGATTGCTAATTCCAGAAGCAAAGGCTTTTCAGGCCGAACTCCAGAGCTAGTCTGAGTCAGATGCAGAGCATTGCTGCAAATTGCCTCTGATACAAATATTCACCACCCTTGCCCTGTTCAGACATTTCCAGTGGTCTGTGCTTTTTACTGCCTCTCCATCAAAGTGCTTAACCCACGGCAACACACTAAGTCCCATGATCCTCGCAGTGCTCTGACCGTTGCCCTGCCTGCAGCTAACTGTTAACTCAGCAACAAAAAGGACAAGGCAGCATACATGAGAAATGCTGGTTTCTCAGCTCATCACGGATGAGACAGAAAACGTTTTCAGTTTCAGCTGGAAAATTGATCTCTTTAAAAAACGAGTGGTTTTTTTCCAGTAAGCAAATGACAGGTTACAGTAAGATGCTTGAAACAAACATAAACGGGTGGTGCTTAAGGAAAGTAAAATGTTTTATCTAACCAGTATAAATATTGCTAGCAAAATCCGTTGTAAGCAGCATACGTGAAGGTTGCCTTGTTGTTGCCTTGGCCTTGCCCAAGCAGCAAACTGCTGTGACATCTGATGAGACATGGCTTTGGTGGCAGTTGGTATGCAAAGCAGGGATGAAGGTTTTGGAGCCTTTCTAAGATGTGTAACCAGCAGTTCTACATGTTTCCTTCTTTGGAAAACAGAAAGTAACTTAGAAATTGGCTTCAGAGTGCATTTCTTTCCCTGCTGCATTTGATTGCATTTCTTTCTCTGTTGACTCTTAGGTGAGTCTTGGTGCTATCTTCCCTACTCATTTCCCATGCTATCATGTGAGAACACTGCAATAGTGTTTGAGAATATGCACTTCTACATTCATTCTAATTATTAAGTAGGTAGTTTCAGGCATGACACAAAAATTAGGGAGTGGAAAGTATATTCCCATATGTAGCACTGAGGGATATTTGTGAAAACTTCCTACATGATCTGCTCTTCAGTAGCATTTTCTTTCAATTGCTGTCATGATTAATATCCAAGTGGAAAATGTAGGTATTTATTTTGTTAGGAAATACTTTAGGCATTATCCAAGAACAGGCAAAGAAAGGCTTAAAGATGTCTTGCTTATCTAAAACTAATTTAAAAGCGCACAGTTGAATATTCTCAATTAATAACTCAATTAATATCCTGGATACTTACTTTTGCACATAGACCACAACCTAAAACATGCAGGAAAAAAACCCCAGCAACATTTGCTTTAAAGCAGTTCCTTCTTTTCCCACCCTAGGATGGATGCCGTTCCATGGCCGTGGCTTGCTTCCAGAAGGGCGTACTGAAACTGCAACCAGAAAACAGCCAAGTGAATTCCACATTCACCAGAACCGTTAAAATCTTGAGGAAATTCACCTTCAGAGAGCCTGGAAAGGTAGGATTTCCTCACAGTGCCCACAGCTGTGATCATTGCTCCTTATTTTCTAGAGTAGACACCACCTGCAGTGGTGGAATTGCAAAAAGCAAACTGGTTAGGAAAACCAATCTGCCTTTCATTGCTTTGGAAATCAAAACTATCCAATTTTTGCACTTTTGGGAGAGGCACTCACTGTGACACTGATCAATCACATGTATGTACTAGGCAACCCCATGATATGCTGTCAAAAATACAGGGATCACTGCCAGAAATGGGAACAGAAGGTGTCATTACTACATTTTCCCCCTTTCTGAAATAGCTTGTGTCTCAGCTTTTCCAGCTGGAAAAGGCTTTGATCCCAACCTCCTTGACTTTTCAGTAAGTTGGAAGTGTGATTTATGACTCTGATGCCCTGTTTAGAAGTGCCATGATTTTCTTTTACCTCCCAGCAGTGTGAGTCTTCATGTGAATCTTATGAGAAGAAAACCCCCAGAGAGTTTCTGAAGAGCTTTGCAAAACTAATGAAAGAGGTAAGCAGAGCTGATTCCTCCCTGGATGTTTCTGGACATTTTGTTAACAGAAATCCTTATTGTACATAATTTCTAACAATGCCTTGTTTTTACAGTTCTTCAAGAACTAATAAAGGACACGCCAGAGCTGAAGGCTACTGAAAATCTACTTTTTAAAGCAGACACTATGTTATTTAAGATGTGAAAAGTGTAAATATTTCCCATTGCTACTATGCTGTGTTCTGTGTGTGTGGTAAGTGAAAGCTTCTCCCAAAATATTAAGGAATCTTACTTGGCTGTCTGTTCATAAGACGGATGCTGGTTTAAAAGTGATCCTAGCACCCACTTTACACTGAAAATTAAATTGTCGTGTCACAAAAACTGGTTCTTTTAAGGAACTTAACTGTCACCTTCTGCTCAACTAGAAATACACGAGATGGCTACTCCTGTATTTGATCCTAAATCCTGCTTTGATCTTAAATGAATCCTATGCAGAGATGGCTGAAACTTTTTAAAGAAAATGAACAAAAAAATTGATCAGAGGCTTTGAAGCCTCAAAGGTGTCTACTTGGGCTGATTTCCTTAGCTATAATAATACCACACACAGAGTTTTATTTATAAGTTCTTAGACTGTATCTTAGCTCACTATGGAAAAATATCCTGCATTTAACTGTCTTCTAAACACTGGAAAAACATTTACAAATCATACTGTACGACATAGGTCTGACCTGGGATTCACATCTGGGAGTTAATGGCACATTTGCCACGGGTTTCAATAGGGAGAGGAGTAACCCACATGCTCTAAGCAGGGATACAGGATTCTGGGGAGAAAAAACCAATTCAGATGATGGAATTACACCTAGACTCCTCTAACTTAACCTGATAAACACAGCAGAGGTCTGAGCGGCTGATGTGATCAGTCACAGCTAAAAGGTCCAACAAATACAGTAACTGGTGATTATTCAGAGTGAAGCAGCTCAAATGCATATTGCTCTTTCTCAGAAGATGATATTTTACACTCATATAGTGCCTTTAACACTATTCCTTCTCTCTCCTCTTGATTCATTTTAACTGTTTAAGCTCTATTTGCAGTTTTCCTTAAAATCTCTCAAGCTCTTTGTTATGTGAAAACATTTCTCTGGAACTAGGGCCAGAGATACCATTGAAACCTTTTAAAATAGAAGTGAGTATCACAGCACTTAAAACTAGTTTTAGCAGTTAAATTATGTACCACCATATTCAACCTGCAATGATTCTGAACCTCTGGACTCTTCCATCTGAGCAGTAACTGCTCATTTACCCCCAAACAGATATTAGCCCTACCTGAGGAAACTGATCTTGGAAGAGAGTATAATTGCCTTCCAGTAAAATTTAACCGCTCATCTAATTTTCTCTCTACTTAGTAGAAATTTGGTATAGAGAGGAAACTGGAAAACTACATCTCGTGTTAAGATGGAAAATGACAAGCTCATTTACCTCCAAAAATAATGAGGTAGTATTAAAAATCTTTCCATTCCTACCAATGTCAGCCTAAAGGAAAAGTAATACAAAAAGCTTTGCCACCTCCACATTTTCACTGTCCTGAAATGTGAACCTCCTCAAAAACATATGTCAGAGGAAGGAAGGAAGATCCTCAGGGCAACAACAAACCAAGTTTCCACAGTGAACTCTCCTTGTTTCTGGTAATGGCCATTTTTATTTAGAGCACCTTTTTATCCTCTCCTTTCTTTTCTCCTGTTTCAAAGACTGCTTTTCCTCTGAGCCATGTTCTCTCTCTTACCTCAATGTTTCCACATTACTGCATGAGAACTAACATTTGAAACACAAACTACTCTCCTATGTGAGTAACCAAGCCACTGATTTTACGTAGTGTCCTTGCTGCATCCTCTATCCCTGCTTCTCTCACTGACTATCCATAAAGTCCCTTCATCACCCAACTGGTGATGCAGTTGGTGATAAGCAATATGCAAAGCTGCTGCTGCAACTGCAACAGATTTCAAAGTTACAGAAGGAGAGAAAGTCAGGGTAAAATTTCCTCTCAGATTTGGATTAAAACAACTGGAAAAATATGAAAGCAAGTCTTGCAATTGCAGAGTACCTGCTGAAGTTTCTACATTTATGTTTTTATCGAGGAGTTTAACTGAATGCCTTTGTCATGAATTAAGTGCCTTTTTGGGGGAGTCCTAGAAGACCAAACAATAAATCAGCACTTTTCACTCACTTTTACAGAATATTTTCATGTGCAGAGTTTTGGGGAAAGACTTTTATTTTTGTACAAAGAATACAGTACAGTTTTTTTTTGATTTGTAAATGTTTTTTTCCACTAGTTTGCTAAGTGCACTCAAATCAATCTCCTAGAAGAGCCTGTTGAAATTGTTGTTGTGCAGATGAAATGTGATTAGCATACCCTGACAGAGACAACATTGTACATTACCTACTTATTAGCAGTCATGATAAAGCATTGAGAAGCAACTTATGTACCTGGCATGGATATTTTATGACAACAAAGCATTTCTCTACCAGAATGTCATAAGCTAACTAGTTACTCCTGCTTACACTGCAGCAGTTTCTGGGTTTTCTACAGGAGGCAGCATGTAATGCAGTAAGTAATGTAGCTATTTCTATTTAGTGACATGCTCCACTGTTTTTAAACTATGGATCCTGTCACACCAAGCATAATGCTAAAGAGGTTTCTTTCTTGTTTTAAACATAATATACTTGTTTGTTAATTCAGGCTAGTTTTTGTGCCTGCAGAACAACTTAATTCAGAATGCTCCTTCACAGGATTGAAAAACCTAGTGAGAAACTGTAAGAAATGTAACTTAGAGGGTTAATTGCTCTGAGATGTTGTGGGAAACTGAATTTACTGGATAATCCAAGTCCAGCTATGTATGGAGAATATTAATCACAAACTTATCACAGCGGATTTTGGTTAACACCACACTTCTGGGCAGTGTCAGCACAATGACTGTGGGCAGCTCTGTACACTGCAAATATGCTGCGACTCAGGTGATGCTGTGGCCTCGTGCTAACTCTTTGATTTGGCAGAGATATGAAAGACTGAGTGTATTATTCAGGGTGTGTCATCTGAAGAACAGTATGAAAGAAGAACAGGAAATCTGTGCAGGACAAATCAGTGTTCAAGAGGAACAGGAAATCTGTGCAGAACAAATCACTGTTCAAGAATCTTGTTGTGCGACACCATTCGCAGAAGAAAAATGTTAAGATGTCCCAGGAGGAACTTGTGACCCTAGGAAGAACCCAGTATCACAAATCTAGATGTGTACACGATCTTGACTTGTTTCCATTTGTAAGATGAACTGCTTGTACTAACTGCCCTCTGCAGAAACAGGGTCTGTTTCGTTACCCGAGTACACAGAGTAAGCCATAAAAGCTCATTACCTCCCAGGGAGGCTTTACAATATATTTATGATTTTGATCATAAAGTGCCCTTTGCAGGCACTTCACGATGTGTTTTAGCATAGTATATACAACTCTTTATAATATTTACTTTTCCTGAAAAGATCCTTTATTTTTATACCAACTGACTCATCTAATTTAATTATTTATTGCATTTCTGTGAAGGGAATGTTCATACTATGGACTATGTGGTCTGATTTATTTATATGCCTGTGATATTAAAGAATTTCAGCTAATACAGTTTCCTCTGGTTCTTTTCTTTAAAACTTTCTGACCATGCCTATCCTGACAATGGCCCATCGGTGAATTTTATTAGCCTACACTGTCACAGATTTGCCAGATCAGACCAGGGACATGGTACACAAAGTTTACCTTCCTTATATAACCATTAAGAAGGAGTAATGAATTTTTTATTGTTCCTATCTTGCCTGAAAACCTTTTTTTCTTTTTTTTTTTTTGAATTAGCTTTTCAAGCTTAATAAATTCATTTTGGCAAACTCACAGCATGCTCAATCATATCACCCAGATTTCTTTAGATTGCTATGAACAAAAACGAGGGAACTTCCTGTTTTGACTCCACACAGAATAAAGTTAAACATGCAACTCTAGAAGTAACAATTATCCAGCCTGTTTTTCACTCCTAACTCATCTTACTTTTTCCTTGCTTTGAAATGTCAATCCTTTTTCACATCCCAGTTTGGTAGGATCTGTTGAAGTCTTCAAAAACTGAGTATTTTTAGCTATTATCCTTTAAATCAGTAGCTATGATTTATCTTTTATTTAAAAAAAGCCTTTGGGACTGGTAAACAAGCACAAGCCTCTAACAAAAACTCCACAGTGGAACAGCTATTCCTTCCCTTTTCATCTCTTCAGAAAACACTGACTCAAATAGTAACTCCTTACATTGTGTTTCCCATCATCACACATCTGCATTTGTTGGGCCTGATTTTCTTTTTAAAAAATCCATAAAAAGTAAATGAAAACAGATAGGAAGAGTCATAAAACACTGGAGGCTTCAGGCATAAACTGCTCCTACGTCCAGGACAGAGGATGATGTGCTCTCTCAAAAGAAGAGCCAGCAGACTGACTCGCGAGGAGCTGGATATGCCAGTTGCCTCCTGTTGGCTCCCAGTGGTGATGAACACCTGAACCTGCACCTTGGATCACCCTGTGAAAGTGTTTAGAAAGAAGAGTAATAGGATAGGGTCTAATCCAAGCAATCCTTCCTATCTTCACAGAGGAAAAAGCAGTGGGAGTCAGGTATGCTGGGATTTGCCAGTTAAAACTATTAGCCAAGTCTAAGTCACCTGTTCAGTCAGTGAAGCAGCAATACTCAGGAACAAGTCACTTCACCTCAAACTAGGTCTGTAATGTATATGACTGGAAAATGCACAGGGAATAGTTCTCACTTGGATAACTACAAAATTGAAGCCTATCACTAGATATGATCAATCTCACTCAAACTACAAAGTAGGATTCAGAAACAAGCCAAAATGTTGAGCTGACAGTGTGTTTCCAGGTACATATTTGCTAAATACACTATAGTCTCTCTTTCCTGGTACAACGTATTTAATTTTGCACAGATACACTGCTTTTATTTCTTACCTGCATCTTTCAGTATTTACACCTACAGCTACAATCACATAAGAAAATCCAAGAAAGAAAATATTTGGAGTGTACACTTCTTTGCTTTTAAAGACTAAGGAAGCTGAAAAATAAACACAGTTATTATTAATGGCTGATCTAGCAGTGTCTCTGCTGAGGACAACTGATGGTGTGTAAGTATCTTGACACTGCACTGTGGGAAGCAACAGACCCTGAAGCTCTGTGGCCAGGCTACTTTGTCTTCCCAAGTTCATTCTGCAGCATATTCTTGGAACTCCAGTTATAATGTTATCGACTTCACAGAACCTGAAACAGATCATACAGAGCTTTAACAGAAGTCTTTAGGCTTCTAGGACACTCAGAAGTATTTGCTGGAGCACAGCATACGATGTACTGTGTGCATTGTATGGGTATGTGCCAATGCAACAGAGGACAACAGAGTCTCCTGACAACAAAGAGCAACTCAAGTATCGACTCTACTGCAAAGTCTAGGCAAAATTTTGCCCAGATTGACCTACATATCTGTATAGATGTAAAAGAACCTCCTTTCAGAGGTGCAACACCTCAAATATGCTGGTTTGTACTGCATAGAAGTCCTATGCTCTCTCAGTAAGTTGTTTTTTTTTACACTCCCATCATATTATCCTAACAGCTGTGTGGACAAGGGCAAAACAGAACTGCCCTACAGTGTTCTCTGCTTTGCACTTGTGCTGATGATCTACGTTGTAACAGGAGCAAAGGTGAAAGAGGATGTTTCCTACTCGAACATCTTTGCCCAAGCTGCTGATCTGAATTGCTGTGCTGCCACCTTCTGATAACTACATGGAAATTCAAAGCAGTTCCAGACACCCAACAGGAAACCTGAAAATCGTTCTCATGACAGTAAGCTTTGAAATACACCACAGACATAATAACTAAGCTCTCTACTTCCCATTTAGATTTCCCTTTTCCTATTCACACAGCTGAAGACTTCCCAATACTCTTTTCTTGTCCAGTTGCATTACTGCTGTAACATCATGAAGCGTATGTTTAAACACATGCCTTACCACACCAGTTAGGCTCTTCAGCATCTCCTCTGCCTTTGCAAGAGGCTGTACATATGGATGCTGTGTTCGTATTCCCCGTCGTTAACTGTCCAACAACCCATCAGTTCTCTAAAAGGAAAGTCTTTGTAAAGAACTTTGCCATTTTTATCACTTTTCCCTTTTTCACAGAATCACAGAATTAGCTGGGTTGGAAAAGACCTCCAAGAGTATCGAGTCCACCCTTACCATGGTTACTAGACCATGGCACTAAGTGCCACATCCAGTCTCATCTTGAAAACCTCCAGGGATGGTGAATCCACCACCTCCCTGGGCAGCACATTCCAATGCCTGATCACTCTCACTGTGTAAAATCTCTTCCTAATACCCGACCTAAACCTCCCCTGGCAGAGCTTGAGTCTGTGCCCTCTTGTCCTCCTGCTGGTTGCCTGGGAGAAGAGACCAACCCCCACCTGACTCCAACCTCCTGTCAGGGAGTTGTAGAGGGTGATAAGGTCTCCCCTGAGCCTCCTCTTCTCCAGGCTGAACACCCCCAGCTCCCTCAGCCTCTCCTCATGGCACTTGTGCTCGAGTCCCTTCACCAGCCTCGTTGCTCTTCTCTGGACCTGCTCCAGCACCTCAATGTCCCTCCTGAACTGAGGGGCCCAGAACTGAGCACAGGATTCAAGGTGTGTCCTCAGCAGCACCGAGTATTCTTACACTTCTCTCTACTGTTTCCTGTCCCCTCTCCATGTCCATCCTTGAAGCTCCATCTTTCCTCTCCCCATTCTTCTAATTTCCCACATTTGTTCTCCAACTCCACTTTCTTCCTTCTGTTACACTTTCTCTAATTTCCTTTCTGTTTTCAAGGATTTTCAGGCACTTAGATGGCTCATAATCATCAGCTGTACAATTCCATTAAAATGGAAAAGCAGTTGAACATAACTTTATATGAGTCACTAGACACTGGCATTAAATTCCTTACTATCCATGGGAGGACATCCTGACAACAAGAAAGTCACAAACATCTTCACTTTCAAGCCAAAAAATGAGAGAACCACTCACAAACCAAATGTAGTGGAAGATACACTATGTTTCAGATCAAATTTATCACAACAGATAAGACAAATCTTTAACACTGTGCCAAAGCAGCTCTCTCCACCCTCCCTTAAATCCTTAAAACAAACGTAGAGACAATGAATGAAACAGGGGTCAAGGTCAGAGTCAGGTGATATGAAGACTGGGGCTGAAAGGGAGACAGGATCTGCAGGGAGTGGAATACAGAAAAGGGTGCGAGGTTAGCACCCCAAATCCAACCTTTCATGACATCAGGAAGCAACTCCAAGTCTATCACT